TGAACGACTTTATTCAATACTGAAGAAAGTATGAAAGCTTACACACCTTATACACTCCTCAGAACAGATATCCAACTTGTCTGCGGATCCACCGTATTGTACAGTACACTCTTCGTCAAAAGACGAAACCTAAACTAGTTTAATATTTTCCATTCTCACAAAATAGACGGCAGTTACACCTCTATAGTCATGAACACGATAATCCGTACTGTATTCGGAGAAACACTGAAATAATCTTTATCCTAACCCAGTGAAAAGATAGCTTAGGAACGGACGTTATTTCGTGCGTCCACGAGGCAGATAAACAACCCACAATGTTGCCCATGATTTGCTAGCATTTCGCTAGAGTTGCGGTAACTTCAGACACCAGCTGGAAGTTTGGTGAAGTTCGCACTTTCCGGAAACATTTTATTTGGTCGGTTGCATGGGTGACAATACATACTATCACAGGTAAGAGGTGTTATGTCAGTGGCTTAAGTTGTTACCCTAATATGACACTGCTGAGGAAATTATACAAATACACCACTCATTTTAAATTTATACACCATCTGACTATAAATCCAGAGCAAGCTTCGATGTTGTACACCGCAAAGTTGTATGGGAGAAGTGATTTCAGGCTTTATTTTTTCCCAAATGTTGGTGATCCATCCAACACCCACCTATGTCTTTTGTTAGTGCGAAGAATATATTCCCGTATTTCTTAATGTGCTCTACTGAATGACTGGTTAGCAGATTGTCCCAACAAACTAGAGTTAAAAAGATACTAACCATGTATTTTCCGCATTAGCCAAATTTATGCAATTTAAAAAATACTTATTCATATCTGTACAATTGGTATGTTTCCGTATAGACAGGAATACATATATTATTACTGTTTGACTGTTGTAATGTCATTATTCTTTATAAATCATCCATTCGGCATGTTAATATTGGTAATATGAGAAATATGGGAAAACAAGAGCAAGACTTACCACAATATCAAATAGAGAGTTGAGTTTCTTGGACAATATTTGTACTTCACCAACTAGTCTACTTTCTTGAAAGAATGCGGTGATATCTTATTCATCGTCACCAGGCACTATATAAATCCACAATTTCCGTTGGTATGACTCAGATTCTTTAACCTTCTCAATGTCAAGTGTATACTCGGTGGTGGTAGAGGTCAATGAAGTAGTGCATTTAAAGCACACGTATAATTCCCATAATCACGGCGGTACTTTGCAGAATATATCAAAATCACGGAATGATAAAATGAAATGGAATTAACTAAATCCGCATGTCAAACAAGCTGTAGTGTACATCTGGGTATCCATCCACATGTTGATCATGCTGACTAATTCAAATCACCAACTATACAGTTCCAATTAATCGGGGTATCTAAAAAATAATGAAAATGTTCTGACAGTTGCAATTCAGGGATTACACATATTCTGATATGTGAAATACATTACTTGCATGAAGCCGTTATGAAAATGTGTTACATTTACCAGAATACATTCGTACAGCTTCATTCGTAGTTAATAATTTTAACGTATGTGACATTCAGTGAACAATAATCTGTTGACAGTGTGAAGAACCAAAATATTAAAAAGGATACATGTATGATGACATTGTCTCGCAGTCGTAAAATTGACTAATTATTAATTTAGATTGAAATGTATTCATGAGAGTGACGATTATTTAAGAGGGGATTTCTAAAGTTTGCGTTACAAGAAGGTTACTGGTTATATGAATTGTCAGACGTAAAAAAGGAGAATAAAGTACTCAGAATCACATTTGAAATATGCAAGGTAGAGCTTGATCAGCCAAATACTATATTGAAATACCAGTTCGAATGAAAATTATTATTTATGTTCTTTTAGGTTCCTAGTTTAATATAGGGCTTCACGTTTCCATTCTGCTGTCCTCTTTAGCTGGCCCAACGCGATTGCCCATGGTTTCTAACCTCCCCCTCACATGATCTTCTGCATGACACCCAACTCTTCGTTACCAATACGGGTTCAAATCAATGGATGGCGTTGCGCACGATGTCATCCGACGGCCTCCTCTGTGTGTCAGATACATCTCCACTCTCTTCTCCATATCTTTTGAGCAGTAGGTTCTTGGTAGTTTCGTTCGCAGAGTTCCCTTTGCTGATTATCTCTGGCCATCTCATCTTCTATTTGAAGCGAAGGCAAATGTTGATAAAAGTCTTCGGCAGCATGTTAGAAGTACTGTTGGCGATGAGTAGTTGAAATTTCCGGTCCAAATAGAAGAAGCGGCTCAACACTACTGTCAAAATACGAATATTTTTATTTATGCTGAGGGCGGCAGATTTCCATATTGATTTCAGAGTGCTGGAAGTAAAGCTTGCTTTTCCGATACCGGTTTGGACATCCTAATCTATTCCGCCTGTAGTTGAAACAATGCCTCCCAGATACGTTAAGGAAGTGACCCTCTTTGTTATGATTGGTTGGATATTTTCATCACTTTTGTCCTCGCTATGTTCATTTGGAGTCCTGTCTTCGCTGCTTCCTCAATCAACTTGCTGGTTTTCGTTTGCAGGTCTTCGAGTTCACCGAAATTATGTAGGGACCTGCGTCTTAATCCTCCCCTCATTTCAGAAGCTTAGATAAGTTTTCCGTTGTGGATCACTCAACATGTGACATCATCATCTTATGACTGTTGACTGAGGTTGATATAGACTTGATGCACACCGCAGTGTTGAAGTAATTCTCAAATTACCTCGCCATCAACGCTGTTAAAGGCAACAACAAAGTCAGTGTAGTTGATATAGAGATTTGACTGCCATTCTATGCATAAAGTTGCTATTTGACCGGTAGATGATTTACCTTTCCTGAATTCAGCTTGTCGGGTAGGAGTTGTGTTCAGCGCATCTTTTATTCTCTCTGGAATGACGTCACCCAATTGTTTGCTTGGAGTGGACAAGAGCATAACTCCGTGCCAGTTCTTGCAAATGATTATTTCGTCATTAATTAGATGAGGGGGCCTTTCTTCCAATCAGTAATCACCTTTCCTTCCTTCTAAACCTTTCGCAGTGGTGGTGTGAGGATATCCGCCGTGATATCTGCATCAATTTTCAGTGCATTCGGAGGAATTCCATCCGGTCCTGCTACCTTTCTGGCCTTCCATAGCTTGATCGCATTCAAGACTTCTGATTTTGTTGGAGCATTCTACTTAAAACAGAACTCCTATTATAAGAAGACTGAAGTAAAATTCTCTCTTCTCTTCAAAGTTATATGGAAACAGTATCCAGGCGACTCTTCTGTGGCATTTGCCAATCTTAAAACATATGACTGACACAGCCAAGACTTAATTCTCAATGTTGCTACCATCAAACAAATAAACGGGGTAACTTTTAGCATTGACCATAGTAGCCTTTAAAACTGGCTACATCCTGAAATCAAATCTTCCGAGAGTTGAGTGAGTCCAAAGTGATTCTAGAGGAACACATAACTTGCTATCCCTAGCTCATCTAAAATGTCTTAACTGTAAGTCATGCGGTAATACAAAAAGCCATTCAGATTACAATTAAGACAGAAGAATCCGATAAAAAGCACTGCAAACAATATGGCATAATCCAGTAATTATTGCTGATGAAATCATCATCGACTTCTGTGACTGAGCTAAAATCACACAGTCTCTGCTTTGCAACGCTCTATTACCTATCTATGATACCTCCCTCTATATAACGAAGTTTTCTTGCTTTGTTTATCACTATGTGTGGGTTTGAGTGTACTTACTGTGGGTACATAGATGTGATGAATCTTTAAATTCAAAGGCCTAGGTGTAACAGATAATCTTTGTGGTGAAATTTATTTGAATAATTCAATTTAATCGTAAGAGTCTGTAGAGACTTGTCACCTTTACAAATTAACTGGTCAGGTACAGTATGTTATTGGAAGCCTTGGTCGTGAACGCCTTATGGGTGCGTGAATGGGAATAAATTTATTATTATTATGAATAACTCAATATTTCTGAGTCTGCTACTGCAAACATCTAAGTGGTTTCGAAGCGAATCCCACGCAGCTATCTAAGTAATGACAGAGGCACTCCAGAATGTTTGAAATAATTCCAAGCAAATCAATCAAAATATGGATTCAGGGAAGTCGGTGAATTTTGGATAGAAACTCCCCTATATGGGAAGACTTAAATTCGTCATTTTCCAAAGTCTACCACGGTTCTATCTACAACCTTGAGTAATTTATTTTGACACTTTATAGACACGTAGCAGCTGCGAAAAGAGTGACAGTATGCTGTTTTACCCATACTGTCCAAGGAGCACTGGTGTTAATATCAATATTTTTGGTAATGTGAATCTACATCGGGGAGTACATCAGATAATATCTTCTCAGAAGGAAGTCCCTCTTAGGGACAGATCACCTCTTTGCCCGAAAGAGACACAAAGTTTTGCCTATCTAAGGTAAGTGGTATATGTTCCCAGTTTGTTTTCCATTAGAGTTTTTAACAGAATTTATATCCAGCTGGTATGGCCGTAGTTGAGTATGTCCGGAGAGTGGAGAGAAGCCTAAACGACTAATTGTTGAAGTAATTCCCTTCATACTTTACTTTTTACTTCCCCTTCTCTCCCTCTTATTTTTATCCTCTTGCATGCACGTCTTCCATTCTTTTCTCATCCTGCATACACTTATTTCCTATTATATATTCAATTTACCTAATATTTTCTCTTCTGCTTTTCCAATCCTTGGTATTTACTTGATATTCCTGTTTCCTTCTGTCACTCCAAGGATAAACTAGCGAATTTAAAACTAATAGTCCCAATCGAGAAATATTGTTTTTCATAATTTTTCGCTACTCCTACACATTCATACACTCACTACATTCAACGGAACAATAACAGACTTTAGAATAGGATTACCATGCTTGGGTTCACCAAAATCTTTGAACCAACCCGTAAGGTTGAAGAGCGATCGTCTAAAGCAGTAAGCTGCACTAATTCATCATAAGTGATATTCTATTTGTTTGAATAGTTGGTCGTCATAGTACGCTAATCGTGAGAACTTAAATCCAAAATCATTGATGTGGTTTGGAAAATATTTGTAAGCCTCACTGTTTATCTATATTCTTTGAGAGCAATATATTCATGAAATATATTCATGAATATATTCATGGAAAGTTCCTTTTGTAACGCACTGAAAATCAAAACAAGTGATTTGGCGAAGAGGCTCTTTTCCACAGTTGTTGAAATTTATTATCAAGCTGTACAATCGTATACATATGGTTTTTAAAAAATTATATCTGGCGGGAGTTGAATAATATGTGTGAATACATAAAATAATAGTATGAAATGCAATTGCATTGAATAGACAAAATGAAAAAAAATTGGTAGAGGCGAAATGTAATTAGGGGTTGCCAAAGATTCAGATTCAGATGGTAAGGATAGTAGGCTCCTGTGGCCTGTGTTAATCCTTGCAAAATATTTCTCTGCAGAGATCTAAATTCTCTTTGAAAGCGTTCACTGATGGAGCTGATACTACTGAATCAGGTAAGGAGTTTCAGTCGTTGAAGTCTCTGTGAGAGAATCTAAATTCTGCACGTATTTTAATCGTCCTTGGTTTGAGCACCATTTTGCGGTGACTCCGTAAATTTATCCTAGAAGGGGATAAAAGGTTTTAAAGTTCAGTTCCTAAATCACCCTTAAGCATACGGTATACTAAAATTAAGTCGCCTGTCTTCCTTCCTTATGAAAATGGGAAGAGATTTAAATGCTCCAACTTTTTTCATAAGGAAGGTGTGAGATACCACTAAGGAATTTGGTCCCTACCCATTGTACTCTTTCTAAGATATGTTTCTGCTTCTTGAAGCATGGGCTAGCTACTTGTATGCTGTATTCCAGATGAGGTCTGATATATGTTGCATAGAGTATTTAGAACATATACTCGTCTAATCGTTTGAAGGCTCTTTGAAGTGCCCAAAGCATTCGAGAAGCCTTAGCTGCAGCTGCACTGCGATTTGCAGTTGTTTTCAAATCGTTGCTGACAATGATTCCTAGGTCCTTCTGTCCATTAACATCAGGTAGTTCTGTGTCCTCTAGGGAGTATGAAGTATAAGACTCCTGACCTAAGTGCATTACCACTCTTTTCCTAGATTAATTTCTAAACTCCACAGGTTCGACCATTTAGCTATCTAGATCGTTTCGCAGTATCTATTTTATTATTTTTTTATTTTGGTTACAGCTTGATGCCACACCGTATTTTCAGTACAAGTATGGCATTTTCAGCATGGATATCGGTAGCCCAAATTTTGCAGGCCAACCATGGATATCGGGTGTGCGCCGGCAGGGGCTCGAACCTCGGACCATGTGCATGGTCGGCGAGAGTCCTAACCACTGTGCCACCGACGCACAACCTCTCATCTTTATTATTTACGCTTTTCCACATCTTAACATCGCCGGCAAATAATAAGGAAGATGAGGTAAGAATTTTCGGCAGTTCATTTACGTATAACAGGAATAGCAGGGGGTCAAGTACAATTCCCTGAGGTACCCCACTTAGTACTGCTTTCCACCCTGATAGTACACCGTTAACTCTAACCTTCTGCCTTCTAATCATTAGGTACTCCCTAAACCATCCACATAGGCACTGGTCTAGTCCGAAACCTTTAAGTTTACTAAGGAGACCTAAGTGGGATACTTTATCTAATGCCTTACTAAGATCGATAAAAATCACCTCCAACAGAAGGTTTTTATCACTGGCCTCAACCCAGTATTCCCTAGCCAATAGTAGGTTTGTCAGGCAGGAACGTCCTGGTCGGAATCCTTGCTGTTCCATCACCGGCAAGCCATGTTTTTCCATTTGAGCTAATAGCTGATGCCTTATAATTGTTTCCAATACTTTTGCTATAATGCATGTCAGACTTACCGGCCGGTAGTTAGATACCAATTACCTGTTCCCCTCTTTGAAGATAGGGCTTATAATGGCATCCTTCCAGTCCCTGAGTAGCTAAGCCTGGGTCAGAGACATCTGAAAAATCTCCGTAAGTGGAAAATATATTATATCCGCCACGGAAATTAACAGTTTAGGGTAGAGTCCATCGGGCCCAGGTGATTTACCTAGCTTCAGTTTAGACAGTAGTTTGAGGACCTTTGTGTGCTCTACCACAATTGAGGACGTCTGAGTAGCTATGGCATTGACCTCGTCAATATCCTTGGGTGGTACGATCAGACTAGAAGACGTCACAGAAGTATTCAGAGAGGTTTTCAGCCTTTCCCTCGTCTGACTTAGCCACTTCTCCACTAGTGCTTATGAGTGACGCTATACCACCGCTAGTTTTAGTCCCACGTTTAATATACGAATACAGCCTTTTTGGGTATTGAACACAATCCAGTACTAGCTGTCTCTCGTACTCTATACGACCCTTGTCAATCACATACTTACAGAGATTTCGAATTTCGCGGTAGTCCTTCTGGAAATTTTCCCTCCCTCTCATAATAAATTGGTCCCATAAGTTCTTCCTTAGTCTTAATAGCCTCCTTATTTCACTAGCAATCCAAGGTGGCTTATGCGATAGCTTTCGAGGAGTGTACCAAAGTACAAAAGGTAAAGTGACAATCTAGTGTATTCCTAAATCCCACCCAAGCTTCCTCGACAGTCCGACTTGTATCAACTGACCAGTCAGCTACAGTTGCTGCGTTCCGGATTCCCGGTATATTCGCTTTCCAAATGTTTGGACGAGCAGATGTTGACCTGTCGCCGAGCGGTGGAAGGTACCTAATGTTACCAACGTCCACTTTTTGATGTGTTAACACCAAGTTTAGAGTAGACGGATTATGTTCAGGGTGATACCGTGTTGGTGTATGCATATGTTGCACGAGTGCACATTCAAGCACTGTCAGTGTGAGCTCCCTATTAAAGCAGGTATACAAACTAGTGGATTTTAATTCCTCCCAATTAATATGTGGAGCGTTAAAGTCACCAACCACCAGGCACCTATTTCTACTACTCCACACCCTCAAGTGATTTAGAACGAAGTCATCAGCTTGGCTAGCAGGACTTCTGTAAATAACCGGATCGTTAAAGTGTCATTGTTCAAGTTAATGACACAGTTTTTGGCTTCACTGGCGCCGTCATCATGTGCTTCTGATAGCGCTCACCTAATCCCTATGTCATCCCTGATGTATAGGGTAACCCCGCCACCTTTTCAACTAATTACTCTGCCCGCTCTAATGCAGTTGTGCCCAGGTATGAGTGGAGTTAAGTTTACCCCCACTAACAACCATGTCTCAGTGATAGCAATCACACCAGGTTGTAGTCCTTCAGATAATCCTCGTAATTCGGCGAGGTTATTTCAAAGACTACATGCGTCCGTATAGCAAACTGAAACACCTACGTGTTAATCGGGCTTATGAGGAGAGGTCTCGGCAGCATCGGTTTTCGAGACCTCATCACCCTAAAACCCAGTAGCTTGAGGTCTTTTTCGCCTTTCTCTAGCCTGGACCTTAGTTCAGCTACGGCTTCTCTTCTTTTGATTCTATCTTCTAACAGCCAATCAGGCCTTATTTTTAAAATTATCGTTGATTTTGAACTCGTTGTTGACGATGGTACTCTTCTCTGTCTCATTCCCTAAAACTATCTTAAGTAGTCATAGCAAAGTTTCCGTAGCATCAGGGTTTCGTTTTCCGATCCTGATGGCCTTTCTTATGTGGACTCCAATTGTTTTTTTCGGGAAGTATTTCGCGAATAATGGAGCTAACCGCCTTCAGGTCATCTGCATGTTGAGCAGCTGGATCCGTGGTTTTAGACTTCTCTAAGTTCTAGATTATGACACTGTAACTAGGGCCCGTAGGTTCCGCAGTTTGATTGGTATTAACAGCCGTCAAGAGCTTGTTAGTAAGCCCGGTTACTGTTTCTTTCTTACGTTTATTCAGCTTCTTACTTGTGGGCACCAACCAAGTGGAGTCGGTTTCTTCCACTTTGTTTTCGCCGCAACTAGAAGCCAGTCGTACACTAGGCACGCTGCGCTTTGGCGTGGCCGTGTCTCCAGCTTGTATTACCATGCTGGCACTACTTGCCCTTTTAGATTTTCTTTGATTTTGTGCTTTGCCACAGCAGATATTTAGGCACTCTGTGCCATTTTGTAGCTGACACTTCAGGATGTGATACAGTCTCAGTTTTAAAACTACTTCGTGAATCACCATTCTTGGCATCGATTTCTGATGCGGGCTTTCCGACTGTACTTTTCAACAATTTCTTGGGCATAAGAAGTCCTACTGACTCTTGCATGAGGACATTCAACGGGTTACTACAAAATTTTCACACCCAAGGCTACCGGTGATAAACCAGTGCAAACTTTGTGAAACCACAAGCTGTGGTTCTCACACTGCATCCCATCATCCACCGGAAAGTGGCAGTTCGGTCGTCCGCAGTTGTTAGTCGGGCTCATAATTCTGTAATTTGTTTAAACTACACACATATACATATGTAATACACTGAAGTAAAAACCAACCAAAAACACAAAATGTGAATAAAATGAACAAAACTTCAGCAGAATAAATCAGTTAAAGTGGACTAAAAAGCTTCTGATGTGATTTAAACAACAAAATCAGAAGTTACTTCACAACGTAAAAAATGCCACTCTCCTTTTTTAAAGCGCCCGCAGGTAGCCTGATTGAAGGATTAAGACCATGAAAGTTGGACGGGTTGAACGAACTTTTTCTGTATACAGAGATTTAGCTTTTCTGTTTCGATAGCCAAGGCTTCAGCAATACAGACGAGTCGGACATGTAGTGATTTGGGCAAATTACTTTTCGCCTTGTAGATGACTTTAAAGGCGGAGGCTTTAGAGATAGGGTGATCATTATCGACCAGATATTCAGTGATCGCGCTTCTTATTGCTCCACTTCCACCTCTTCGTAACCATGCAGGATAGGGTTCTTGCATCCTCTTGGACAAAAATCGAGTCGAACGACCGATATACCTAGCTCCACTCGAGCAGCTGAATTGATAAACACACATAGAGTTGGTCAACTGTGGGATCTTGTCCTTCAGGTTATTGAACAGTAATGGTCAACTGGTAAAGGCTATTCTCAAAGATGCAGCAG